TCTCCCTAAATCCTTTTTTAAAATGACAGATGAATTAAACTTAAAAGATATATGGCGAGAAAGAAATGCTAAAATTCAACAATATACTTTTTTATTCCAATAGACATTTATCATGGTCCAGAATAGATATGATTTAGACGTCAACAGAATTATTATCCAATATTCAAGAAATAAATATTGAAACAAGTACATGGGCAGACCACAATCCAATGACAATTAAATGGAAAGGACAAAAAAGAAGATCTAGATGGACATTAAACAATACTATTCTAAAGGAAAAAAAAAACTTTACACAATGGATGGAAAAAGAGTTGGCCTTCTTCTTTAATGAAAACAAAAAAGAAGATACTTCAGTACAGAATGTTTGGGATACAATGAAGGCATATGCAAGAGGATTAATAATAGACTATACAAAGAAAAAGAACATTAGGAAGAGGCAAATGATTAAAGCTCAAGAAGATGACCATAAAAAACTGGAAAAAATTACAGAAAACGCCACAGAAAAAAGATATTAAACTTAAAATGGATATAATCAAACATAAAATGGATCAAGTAGAGAAAGAAGAACTGGCACAAAAAATTAGAAGTGCTAAACAGAACTATTTTGAAGATGAAAATAGGCCAGGTAGATAGTTAGCATATAAATTGAGAAAAGAGAAAGAATCAAGGAAAATATTACAGTTAATAGACGATCAAGGTCAAATTTGTTATGGTAATAAAGAGAAAAAGGCAATCATTCGAGACTTCTATGGACAATTATATAAACAGGAGGATCTTGATGAGGAAAAAATTAAACAGTATTTACAAAATGCTAACCTACCTAAGATACCTGATGAAACTGGGAAAATGTTAGAAAGTGCTATAACAATGATGGAATTAACCGAAGCACTTAACAGACAGAACAATGGAAAAGCACCAGGACCAGATGGCCTCACAGCAGAATTTTATAAAACATTACACATTGGAATGTTACGAGGCGCTCCCTGAAAAACAAATGACTTTGATATTCTTAGATGCCCAAAAGGCATTTGATAATGTGAATTGGAGATTTATGTTATTATTATTGGAACAGATGGGCTTTGCTAGAAAATTTATCCAAGCAATAGAAGCCATATATTATAAGCAAACGGCAAAAGTAATGATAGATGGAGAATTTACAGATTCTATTAATATTAAAAAAGGTACAAGACAAGGATGTCCATTATCTTTTTTGTTATTTATATTGACCTTGGAAGTGTTAAATAGAAATATTAGAGAGGATACAAACATAAAAGGAATGAAAGTTCAAAAGGAGGAATTTAAATTGCAAGCCTTTGCAGACGACTTGGTTTTTATTTTGGAAGATCCTCTAGAGACAGCTTTAAAACTATTGGAAAAGATAGAGATGTATGGTGAGATGGCTGGCTTGAAAATAAATAAAGACAAAACAAAGATTCTGACAAAGAACATGTTGTTAAGACAAAGAGAAGAGCTGGCAGACCTATTGAAAATTCAAGTTACGAACAAAGTTAAATATCTGGGGATATATTTGACATCAAGATGTACTACACTGAAAGAGAATAACTATATTAAACTTAAACAGCAGATAGCATCTGATCTGAAAAAATGGGAAAACCTACAATTGTCATTGATAGGTAGAATCTCCACAATTAAGATGAATATTTTACCCAGAATTTTATATTTGTTCCAAACAATACCAATTAGGTTAGGTAAGGATTACTTTGAAGAATTAAATAAAATTGTGTTGAAGTATATATGGCAAGGTAAGAAAGCGAGAATAAAATTAAAACTCTTACAGGATGCTAGAATTAGAGGAGGATTTGGCCTTCCTAATTGGGAGTTGTATTATCAAGCTGCAAACTTAATGTGGGCTAAAGAATGGATAATGTTAAGAAAGACTAGATTGTTGGCATTAGAAGGACATGATTTATTATTGGGTTGGCATGCTTTTTTATGGTATAAGGGAACTAAAACACAGGGTTACTTTAGAAGGCATTATATACGGGAATCGTTATGGTTGAATTGGGAGAAAATTAAGAAACAATGTTATTTGAAAATCCCAGTTTGGTTATCAACTATTGAAGCTTTTTCTTATCCTATAACCTATAAGAAGGAACAAACAGTTAGATATGGGGAATTACTAGATGAAAAGGGCGAACTTAAAACGATGCAAAATTTAGAAGAACAAGGCATAAAGATGAATTGCTTTTCATATGCACAAATACATTCAAGGTATCTTAGAGATTCTAAAATGGAAGGATTTTATGATAAACTGACTGATTTAGATAGGATTTTGACAGGTACTGATGAAAAAGTGATCAAAAAATTATATAATTATTTGTTGGAAATTAAATTAGAGGAAGAACAAGTTAAAGAAACAATGATTGCTTGGGGGAAGAATTTTGGATATGGGATTGATTTAGAGAAATGGCAAAAATTGTGGTCTCAAAATTACAAAATGACAATGTCAAGAATTGCAAGAATGTTCAAGAACAAATCTGAAAAATGCTGGAAATGTCATCAGATTCCTGGCTCATATTACCATATGTGGTGGACTTGTGAGGAGGCCAGGAAATACTGGACTAGAATTCGCATATGGTTGGAAAAAATGACAAAGAAACATATAGATTTGAAACCAGAGATTTTTTTATTGGGAATCTTACCTGATACATATAATAAAAACTTAAAATATTTGATTGTAAATGTATTAACAGCAGCTAGGATTGTATTTGCTAAAATTTGGAAGAGTGAGAAAATACCATTAGAGGAAGAAATTATTAAGAAAATACTGGAATGTGCTGAAATGAGTAGATTGACATTTGAAATTAGAGAACAAGAAGATAAACAATTTTATGAAGTTTGGGATCTTTTTTACCAATGGTTAGATAATACAATATAATAATAGAATATTTAGAAACCTAGGAAATAATGAATATACATTTTTTTTTGGTTTTGATAACATCTTTAGAATGTTTTATTAAGATAGACTTGGTATGATTTTACGATCTGTTATAAAATAAACTAACTAAATTATAGTTATCTCGCTTAAGTATGAATTAGTAAAATTATAGTCAAATGATTGTTTAATAATGATATTAGGATATATAATTGTTGATTGATAATATGAGTTATTATGTAACATAATTATTATGATGACTATGAAATGGATGCACAAAAAGGAGTGGTAAACCAACCGATACACTGTCTGTAAATTTATGAAGAATGATGATGTTTTTATGTTATGTTTTATGTTTTATGTGTTTTTTGTTCGTTGTTAAAATAAATAAAACGTTTATTTAAAAAAAAAAAAAAAAAAAGAACCGGTAGGAAAAAAATGTGGAATCCCATCATTGATCAATACATATTATGCTATGCTAAGAAAAGTTCTGAGATTTTATTTATTTATTTCACATGGTATAACAGGATATATACCATTAACCATTGTTTTTATTTTCAGTACTCATGTTGTTTCTTCTTGCTGAAAGATCCTTGTAAGATGTGGCAGCAGAATATGTAGATAATTTAGCTATGACAAAGTCATGTTGCTCAGATGTAGCATGAGGAGGCTAGTCTATACTGCATCCCAGTTCTGAGATATGTCATAGTGTACATTGCAAAGAAAATAAGAAACCAAATGTTGTCATTTTAAATCAGTCACCAATTAATACCATAATTAATAAGAGTTAATCAGGATGGTAGATATGTGGGGTAAAACTAAATGTTCTAAAAACCTTTCTGTTGGGAATGTAAGCTCCCAATGTCTGTAAAGATACATTTTATAAGCATGTGATGGATCAAATATTATGTTAATCACATCAGATCTGGTGTGTTAAGGTATGCTGTGGTGTTTTCACAGTTAGGTAAAACATCTGAGAAGATAAGTAAAACTACCCAAGGAGAACTACCAAAGTCTTTCTTTCATTTTATGGAAAACTTGTTATTTGAAAACAAAAAAAAAAACAACAAAAAAAAAAAGGAAATTCTAGAAAACATTTTTTACAAAGAAATTAATCATTTTCAAGCACAGATATGACATAGGATTTTAGAAATTTATCTATTGTGGCTAGCTGTGCCCCTAACTTTAAGGGTACAGATCTTACTAAGGTGGGAGGTATCATCCCTTTTATTCATGTTATGGGGGTGTTTCTCTATTTTGATGGCTTCCCTGATTATTCTCTTGTTGAAGTGTTCAGTATTGGAGATTAATTTGGTTCCCTCAAAATTAATTTCATGTCCTGTGGCTTTTAGGTGCTGGAAAAGGGAGGAAGTGTTTTCTTCTTTTCTGACTGCATTCTTGTGTTCTCCGATGCGTGCATTTATTTTCCTATTGGTTTGTCCAATGTATGTGGCTGGGCAATTGTTGCATGGTACACACACACACACACACACAGAGAGAGAGAGAGAGAGAGAGAGAGAGAGAGAGAGAGAGAGAGAGACTATATAAACAGGCAAAATGACAAAACTGCATCTCACTTATTTTTGCCATGTCGTATGGGGGGATTCACTGGAAAAAGCAATTTTATGGGGAAGAGTTAGTGGTAGAAGTAAATCAGGCCACCAAAAAACACCATAATCAAAGCTGACATCAACCAGAGTATAGAAAAACTCAAAGAAATAGTGCAAGATCAGAAGATGTAGAGAGACTTTGCCAATAGAATCAATAATTGGACAAGCCAGAATGACTCATCATCTTCATCATCATCATCAAACTGGCTAAAATGGATAAAGGGTCTTCAAATACTTGCTGGAAGTATAAAACTCAACTAAGAACTTTTTAACCACCTTTGATGTACTTGCAAAAAAGCTAAACAATTGATTGAAACTTTTAATTTAATTTAAAACATTGAAAATTAATATACAATTTAGATATGATATTTTCAATGTTGGGGTTTATGAACAAAGTATTCGAAAAATCACTTGATGCTTTTCTTCTGTACTTGGAAAAAATGGATTAGCTGTGGAAGGACCCTACAATACCTACAACAGCATGGTTAGTAAAGATGAAAGAACTGGCAATGGATAAATTAACAGCTTTTGTAAGAGAAAAAGTCACTGAAGAAATTAATCTACAAGTGGGAGTTGTTTTTGTCCTTTTTGCAGGGAAAGGAAAAAAAACATTAAATTATAACATAAGGATCAGGTGATTATTAAAACATTAATTTTGGAGGGAGGGAACAAAGGCTGTTATAATATAGTGTTAAAATTAGAGAAGATGTCGTAATATCCATTCTTTGCATATACTTTTTTTTCAATTAGCAAATATCTTTTTGCATCTCTTTCTTACTGTCATTTTCTTCTCTACTTTTTTTACCTGATTGTTGATTTTGCTTAGTTCTTGTGTTTTATAATATGTAAAAATTTATATGCCTAAAATGCTAGTGAAATCCCAACTATTTAGATGCATGAATTTCTAAATGTTAAAGGATAATTTTTCAATTTTCCTTCTTAATGCCCAATAGGCACAGCCTTTTTCTAAGTGCAATCCTCAATGCTTATCAGGTTGCAGCAAAATAAAAATAGAAGGGAAGCCATTTTGCTGCTATGATTGCCTTCCATGTCCAGAAGGGAAAATTTCAAACAAGACAGGTAAGAGATCTAAAGCACAGATTTCATTGCTATGTATTTTAAACAACCTCTTAGGCTTTCTTTTTATATATAAGCAGTAGTTTTCCATTACTTTAAAACTTTGTCCATAATACAGGAAATACATTTATTATCACTACTTAGGAATCCATTCAATCTATTTTATCATCATATCATTCTTTTACTCAGGGGTGGGATTCTACAGGTTCGCAACTATTCGCTAGAACCGGTTGTTAAAATTCTAAGCAGTTCGGAGAACCGGTTGTTAGAAGAAATTACTGGTCTAATTCTGTAAGGAAGGCAGGAAGGAAACATTCTGGTGCTGCTTACAGAAACTGCCTTTCCGTTAACTCTTTTTACATTCTTGGAAGGCCCAGACTTCCTGTTTCTGGAACTTCTCTGGAGTTTTTTTCCCCTCCTTTGTTGGTACTTTGCTTGTGTGGAGTGACCATTCAAAGTTATAAAGGCACAGAAAAAAGTGACTTATAATCATTTTTCACACTTCCGACTATTGCAGCATCCCCACAGTCACGAGAGGCCAGACGAGGAGATGCATGCCTCAATGTGATGTTGAGTTGGCCACGCCCAGCCAGTCACATTACCACCAAGCCACGCCCACTGACTAAGCCACACCCACAGAACCGGTTGTTAAAAAAAATTGAATCCCACCCCTGCTTTCACTCTAAGAAAGATAAATCAGACCATACCAATACATCTTTTCATCCTTGGTTTCTATGAAAGTAAAGAGATTACAAGACTAGGGTGAATGAAACCTACTGTCATTTTGGAAATTCTAGTTCATAATTTATGGATAGTATATTCTTGGAAGCACAGAGAAATTTAAACATTAATATCATCAGGGTTTCAATTGATGCCCTAATTAAAGTATGAGCAGGCCAGGAATGCTTTATGAGTTGACAAATATAGCTCAAGACTGTTGATATTACATGTTTACTGTAAGGAAAGTGAATTCTTTAATGCTCATTAGAAGGTATTAAGTAATGGTTTCTTAATCATAGAAAACAAACCAACAAATAAATAATGTGGACAAAAAAAATCCTAAATTAGTTATGTACTGTAGGTTTTAAAAAATATTATTTTAAATGGTGCGGTGTTGTTTCCTAGAATGGGTAGCAAAATGGTAGCAATAAGGAAAAGTTAAAAGTAATAGTTGATTTGCCTCAATTGTGTTCCTCTTCTTTATAGGACATAACTCTTTTTGGTCTTTCTTTCAGTTCCAGAATTCCCAAGTAGCATACAGAACAATGACATTTTCTACATTGAACCAATTAGAATTTATTTTTGCTTTTTGCTTTATACATCTTCATAACAGAATAACAGAGTTGAAGGAACCTTGGAGGTCTTCTAGTCTAACCCCTGCTCAGGCAGGAAGCCCTATACTATTTCAAACAAATGATTGTCCAATCTCTTCTTAAAGAGTTGGAGCATTCAAAACTTCTGGAGACAAGATGTTCCACTGATTAATTACTCTAACTGTCAGGAAATTTATTCTTAGTTCTACTGTAGGTTGCTTCTCTTCTTGATTAGTTTTCATTAATTGCTTCTTGACCTGCCTTCAGGTGCTTTGGAGAGTAGGTTGACTCCCTCTTCTTTGTGGCAACCTCTTAGATATTGGAACACTGTTATCATGTCACGCCTAGTCCTTCTTTTCCGTACACTAGACATACCCGATTCCAGCAACTGTTCTTTATATGTTTTAGCATTGAGTCCCCTAATAATCTTTGTTGCTCTTCTCTGCCTCTTTCTAGAGTCTCAACATCTTTTTTATCATACAAATGTTGACAACAGGCATATTAAATCTCCTTGATCACACTCTATCAGAACAAATTGAAAACACTTAGCTTAGAAAGTTTCATTCCCACTTGATCAAAACATTTATAAATTAGAGTGCTATAATTTCTTTTTCAGATGCAGATGACTGCTTCCTATGTTCAGAATATGAATATACAAACCAATTTCACAATCTTTGTATTCCAAAATGCATCATATTTTTGTCTTATGAAGAAACTCTGGGAGTTGGCCTGACAACTGTTGCTTTCTTTTTTTCTTTCATCTCGGCTTTGGTGCTGCATATATTCATTAAAAACAGAGACACTCCCATTGTCAAAGCCAACAATAGAAACCTCACCTATATTCTTCTCATTGCCCTCTTCCTCTCCTTCCTTTGCACTTTGCTTTTCATTGGGGAACCTGACCAAGTAAAGTGTCTTATGCGACAAACTACCTTTGGCATCATCTTTTCTGTAGCCCTTTCTTGTATATTGGGCAAAACAATCATAGTGGTTCTTGCTTTCATGACCACCAAGCCAGGCTCCAAAATGAGAAAATGGGTGGGGAAAAGGCTGGCCAATGTTATCATTCTTTCTTGCTCCCTAGTGCAAGTCACCATCAGTAGTATATGGCTGGCAATTTTTCCCCCATTCCCAGATTCAGACATGTATTCCATGGCTGAAGAAATTGTCCTAGAATGTAATGAAGGTTCGACCTTCATGTTTTATACTGCCCTTGGTTTTATGGGTTTCTTAACTGCTATCAGTTTCACAGTGGCTTTCCTTGCTAGGAAGCTACCTGATAGTTTCAATGAAGCTAAATTTATCACCTTCAGCATGTTGATCTTTTGCAGTGTTTGGATATCATTTGTTCCCACCTATCTGAGCACCAAGGGGAAGTACATGGTGGCTGTGGAGATCTTCTCCATTTTGGCTTCTGCCGCTGGTTTACTGGGCTGCATTTTTGTCCCCAAATGCTACATTATTGTTCTGAGGCCTGATCTGAATAGAAAGGAACAGTTGGTAAAGAAACAAAACTGACTCTTTAGATCCAGTATGCTATAAAGTCTCTAAATTGTGATAGAAATCTCAATTGTCTCCTTAAGGAATTGTTGTCCATCTTGTAGAACTGGTTGAAAACAAGTGTGCAGAAATAAAGTATGAAATGTAGTGCTTATAGAATGGTTCCTTAACACATCAAACTGGGTGCTTTTTGTGAGAAATAGACAAAATTAATGTAACTGCTTTAAGAATTATTTAAGTTTGTCATAGAAAAGAGAGACCCAAAGGAAAATCAGAAGGTAAAACCTAATGAAAAAATGAAGGTAGAGGAGAAGAAGAAATGTGAGGAATAAAATTTGAACCTTTTTGTACTACCATTTTGACATTTCCATAAAATTATCTGCTTATCAATGTAAATTTCATTAAATAAATAGCTAGCACAATTTAGTTACTTGCAAGAGTAAATAATACACAGCAACATCAAATCATGGGGATTTATTGTAGCTCCAAAGCATCCAAAGTAAACCAAAAGACCCAGCAGCCCCAGAATAGAAACAGGAATCATATCCAATATATACTGTAAGGCAGGGGTATCAAACTCGTGGCCAGATGCATCACATGCAAGCTACACTGACCCCAGCTTCACAAAGGGGGAAAACATTGAAAAATGTTACATGACAACAGCAGGACATGGTGAGTTTGACACCTGTAGTGTAAGGATTGTAACAGACCCTATGTAGGACAAAAGTCAGAAGACGAGTAGAGTGCATCCATGAACACCAGCTAGCAATCACCATCAGAAGACATGATGAAAATGCCTTAATTTCCATGCTAATTTCCATGTCAGAACACATGGAATGTGTTTCCGAGTTTCATTTGGGAAACTGAGAATCAGAGATGAAATGCAACTATAGGTAACAACAATTATATATATCATTGAGGTGACAACAATTATATATCATTCGAAAGAGACAATCAAAAATCCAAAAAAGAAACAAAAAGTCCAAAGCACCTCCTCACCAGCAATGAAAGATTAATGCTAGACCAACAATCAAATAAATAAGTCCAATCAAGAAACTAGTAATGCAGGCAAACAAGCTAACACTAACAACAGCCTAATCAAGGAACCACTAAGAACACTCTCAGTCACACTGAGAGGCGGGACCACTGAGAGGATTATTAAGTGCTGGATCAAGACTAAAATGGGCCTCCTCACCTATACATTAAGTTAACAGGACCACAAGGGTCTCCTCTCCCCATCACCTTGTGAGAGGCTCATTAAAAAAAGGAGGGCTGCCAGGGCAGTGAAGCAGATGGGGAAGTGGGGAGGGGTGAGGACGAAGTATGGAGAAGCTAAGTTGGAGTCAGCACAGCCCATAAATATATTTTACCTGACTAGGAGAAAAATGATTCACTCTAGTCTATACAAATGATAGAAAAGTGTCACTTCCCTCGCCCGCCTCCCTCTCCTCCTCCAGTTTATCCTCCTGCGTTTTAAAGCCACCTCTTGCCAGTTAGCATTTGGCATGGCTGGCATGCACAGATCCTCTGACTAAGCTAACAGTGGTGCCTCCTTCCTTTTGGGGTGAAGGATTTTGACAGGGTGAGAAGTGGAAATTCATTCTTCAAGAATTGGGGAAAAGGGGAGAAAGAGAGAGGAGGAGATAGTGATGGAGGAGGCAATCATTGCTGCTGCTGCTGCTGCTGCTGCTGATGCTGATGCACAGGAAGGACACACCTTCCTTCCTTCCTTGACGTTTGCCCTCCAAATGAGTTGATTTGATCCAGTTTTGGAGTGCTTTTCTGCAAGCCAACCACACCATACCCCCCACCACCTCCATCCGGGCATGTCACTGAAACACTGTCATGCTGTTTTTCTTTTTAAAAATTTGCTTTTGTAAATATTTTTTTAAATTCCCCTTTATGGACCCATTTTGTGCTCCATGGGCCCCAGAACAATGTACCAGCTGGACCCCCCTCTCCTCAGGCCTGCTGACAGGGCAAGCCACTATTATATACAATGAGAAAAAACTCTACTCCTTTGCAGCAATGATTATGTTATCTAGTAATGCAATGAAAACTCTGTAAAAAAAAAAAATCAAGCTCACAGAGCACTAAGATCTTGACAGTTCAACCCTTAGCTACAGACATTCTCTTTTATTGAAACAGCAAAGTTTGGGAAATATATATGTATGTATATTACATTTATTTATTTATCTATCTATCTATCTATCTATCTATCTATCTATCTATCTATCTATCTATTTATTTAGTCAAGCGATTATAAGGCTACAGGTATAAGTATAGACATAGTTATGAGTACATGAAATGGATACATATAAGAAAAATAAAAAGAAACAATAGGACAGGGATGGTAGGCACATTGGTACACTTATGCACGCCCCCTACAGAACTCTTAGGAAAAGGGTGAAGTCAATAGTAGACAGTCTAAGGTTAAAGTTTTTTGGGATTTGGGGAAGAAACCACAGTCAGGTAAAGTATTCCAGACATTGACCACTCTGTTGCTGAAGTCGTATTTCCTGCAATCAAGTTTGGTGCAATTTACCTTGAGTTTGTATCTATTGTTTGCTCTTGTATTGTTATGGTTGAAGCTGAAGTATTATTGACAGGTAGGACATTGCAATATATATTTTTATATACTATACTTAGATCAGACCGAAGGCAGCGTAGTTCTAGATTTTCTAGGTCTAGAATTTCAAATCTGGTGGCATAAGGTATTCTGCAACAAGTAGAGGAGTGGAGAATCCTTCTTGTGAAATATTTCTGGACTTTCTCAACTGTGTTAATATCAGATACAAAATGTGGGTTCCAGACTGATGAGCTGTATTCGAGTATTGGTCTAGCAAATGTTTTATATGCTCTAGTTATTAGTTATTAATATTACCAGAGAAAAAGCTACATAAGATTAGGATAACAGCTCTTAATGTCTTTTTGGCTATGTAGTTACAGTGGGCTCTAGCACTTAGGTCATTAGAGATGAGTACTCCAAGGTCCTTGACAGAGTTTGGATCATCAAAAAGGTCTTGACTATTCAGCTTGTATTTTATTTTCTGATTATTTTTTTTTGCCAATATGTAAGACAGAGCATTTATTTGTTGAGATTTGAAGTTGCCATTTGTTTGACCATTCTGATACATAGTCGAGGTCTTTTTGAAGGGTAGCGGTATTGTCGGTCATGTTGAATAGCTTTATATCATCTGTGAAGAGAACGCAGTTGCTCTTAATATGATCACAGAGGTCATTTATATAGAGAATGAAGAGAGTTGGTCCTAGAACACTGCCTTGGGGGACACCACTGTCGACAGGTACAGAATTTGTTAGGACGCTCCCAATTTTGACCATTTATTGTCTGTTTGACAGGAATGCTTCTATCCAGTTATGAAGATGACCAGAGATACTATAAGATTTTAGTTTTAGGAGTAGTTTGTTGTGTACCACTGAATCAAAGGCTTTACAGAAATCTATTTAGATTG